GGTAGGGGGGGGAGGGTGGATACACTTAAATACCTGCGTCGTAAGCTCGCAATTACCGACTTCCTAAGCCCCAAGAGATGAGAAGCGCGCGACTTAGACTTTGACCTCAGCGAGCGACATAACTACACACATACACAGGTAACGTGCACACAACGGTTCGACCGTCGATGTCCATTACGGGCCACAGCAGGCTGAAGCAACGCAGTGACTCCCGCGACCCGATATGAAGACAAAAGTCGAGAAGACTGGAGATGGGGGAGGACGCAAACAGCTGGCGCGACCAACACTTAACACGCGTACCAACAGCACAACTCACTAGGTAGGATCCCGCCTGGGAGTGCCATAAAGGCCACATTAAGAAGGAGCCATTGCAGCCTGACTCTCAGCCCGCAGTAGGCCATTCCACACAACAAGACACACACACTGGGCTGATTGCGGTGTCCAAGTTATCCCGTCAGTTGGCAACTCTCCAAGCCACGGCTTTTAGCGCACCACAATAGTTTCAAACGCATCAGATTGATTACAGTGAGGACAGAGTTTCGCTAAGGGTCGACATCAGCCTCTCCCCCAACGCCAGCAACAGACTGCCGCCTAGCTGTCGGCCGCCTGAGGTGGGATATGTACAGTAATGAAAAGGAAAACAAAACAAATCACTCAAGTACCTGCGTCATAAACTCGCAATGGCCAATTTTCTAAGCCCCAAAGGACGAGAAGCACACGTTTTAGACTTTGAACTTAGCGAGCGAAATAACTACACACATACACAGGTAACGTGCACACAACGGTTCGACCGTCGATGTCGACGATGCCCATCACGAGCCTCAGCAAGCTGAAGCAACGCAGTGACCCCCACGAGACTAGTGAGAAGAGACTCGCGGAGAATTTACCCCATTCTGTCACCACTCCCTCATCGGAAACCGGTGTAAAAACAAAATGTTAAGAAGGCCGGAGATGGGGGAGGATGCAGACGGCTGGCGCGACTAACACTCAAAACGCGTACTAACAGCACGTTTCGCTAGGTAGGCTCCCGACTGGGAGCGACATAAAGGCCACATTAAGAAGGAGCCATTGAGCTTGACCCTCAGCCCGCAGACAGCCACTCCATACACACTGGGCTGACTACGGTGTACAAATTGTCTGATTAGTTAGCAACCCTCCAAACCACGCCTTTTAGCACACCGTGATAGCTTCGAGCGCATCAGATTGGGGAAAGAAATGCGCTGAGGGTCGACCTCACTCTCTCCCCCAACACCAGCAACAGGCCACCGCCAAGCTGTCGGCCGCCTGAGGTGGTATGGGCGGAGTGCTGAAAAGGCAAAAAAATCACTTAAATACCTGCGTCATAAGCTCGCAATGACCGACTTCCTAAGCCCCAACGGATGAAAGGCAGACGATTTAGACTTTGACCTCAGCGAGCGACATAACTACACACATACACACAGGTAACACGTTCACACACACAAATCGACAAAAAACAACAGAGGCTGGCACTTACTCGCAGAAGACTGGAAGCATAGATTTGAGGATGGCTCGGCAAAGTTCGACTGCGCCGCGCCAATATAAAGAAGCAAGAGAATCTACCGAACTCACTGCTACCGTTGCCGGAGTTGGAGAGGAGAGGAAGAAACGAAAGGAATGGATCTGACTTTTTCGTGCCGGGGCAATGTAGGTGCCGCTCATTGATGAACGTTCACCCATCACTAACGCAGCTCTCTCGTCACCCTCTATCTTGCGGTTCATTGTTCGGGCCCGCTCAATGCTTAAAGTGGTAGACTTTCCATCCAAAGGTCACGGGTTCTAGCCTCGGTGGGACACCTTCCAAGCAACGGCTTTTAGCACACGATGGTAGCTTCAAGCTTGGCAGATCTTTTATAGGGAGAAAAATGCGTTGGACAGTCAACCCCACTGCCTATTCCCATTCCTAGGCCCCAGTCATCGTCAGAACCAGCCAGTGGACTGGTATGGAAAATGGACACAGCTATCAACATGTCTAATGACCGCATCTGCGCGCATAACGTACACAACCTGATCCCCCTAAACGCAAGCGTAAGAATTTCAAGTAAAAGTGAGATAGCTCCCCCAGACGGCCAAGACGAAAGGAAATGGGTGTGAAAACTGTACTTGTCAGGGATAGGTATCCCGTCTACGCGTGCCACTCACAATATCGTTTCTAAATGCAAGCCAATAAGGCTCAAACGGGGGAACAGAGCTTCAGGTTTCAGTACTGAATACACGACTAAGAACATATTAAGCATGAGGCCCCGACAGCCTGACCCTCAATCCCAAGCAGGATCGAGTTATCTCGTCAAGCCACTGCGGTTGGCGTGTGGAGTGCGATCGGAGACAGTAATTGACATGGTGCATGTCCAACGAAGGTCAAACACAGCAAAGAACACTTACGCTGGAGTTGAAGATCGAGAAGAGGATGGAAAGGAGGAGGCACCAGACCAGCAGTACCGGCAGGCTGAGGAGAACGGTGGAGGTCCTAAGGGGTGGGGAAGATACACGAAACGGTTTACCCATGGCAACAGAAGCGACAAGATAGAGAAAAGATGGCGACCGACGACAACAGATACCACACGTGTTCACAAACAGATGAGGAAGCTTTGACAGCACGATTATAATTACAGTGGTTGAGTAAAAGCAGTATTTCCACAAACAGGAGACTCCGTATTCAATCCTCAAGTCCGACCGATTCACTGAACGGCCTTGTCATAAACAGCCCAAACGAAAATAGTGCATTAAGGAAAAAATCCAAAATAAAAACTTGGAATCGGAGGTACGCCGGTCCTGGGCCTTCGCGTACTTGAGGCAGTCAGAAGATGCAGCTTATAAGAGTAACTGAATATATTATAAGGTTTCCAGAACAATTTGTGCAATAAAGACGGCTGCAACAGAAGATACAAAGTGCCAGCTTGGCCGTAAAGAACGGCCTCAAAAGAGTTTAAATCAATCGTAGGACGCGTGTAATGTCTAGCTGAAGACGGGATCTTCCCGTACCCCCTGCCAGGTAAATATCCGTTGCAAATGTTTTGTTATTACGCAAAAAATCGAACTCCCAAATGTAGTTTCACTTAACTTTTGGACTTTCATACCACAAGCTTTATATTTTCGTGTCAAAAAATCCTACGTCCCACTAAGGTAGTCAGAAGAAACCAAATCTGCCTCATAAAAGTTAGCACTGGCTGCGGACTGTGTTGCATAGAGTGAAAAAGAGAGAGAGAGAGAGAGAGAGAGAGAGAGAGAGAGAGAGAGAGAGA